AATCGCGACTTGTCCTGGGGCCACTTCTGGGCGAGCTCGCCCCTTCCACTGTTATCTGCAGTCCCAGCGAGGTGGCCCCAGCGTTCACGAGTCCACGGGCAGTCAGCCCACGCCTCCCCAACCATCGGCCAGAGGATGCCCTGCGCTTGCTGGGCGAGGCGAGGTCTGTCTCCAGACGGCGCCTCCGCAGCGGGCGCACTTGCCATGATCGGCGGGGGACTGGCGGAGGGCGCGCGCCCGTCGCGCGCCGCTGCCCCCGCCGCCCTCGGCGACGGCTGCCAGTCTGCAGTCCGCGACGTAGCCGCCAAGACAGCCGGCGCGGGAAGACTCTGGCCCTCTGCTCGCGCATTGGAACCGCCCTCGGCCATGTTGTCCGAGGCGCGCACGCGGCCGTCAGTTCGCCTGCTTCCGCGCCCCGGGCCGGCGGCCCCACTGTCTCATTGGCTGGCGCGGACCAGGAAGGTGCTGGAGGGCTCGCCAATGCGCCAGCGCCCGCTGGGGAGTCGACGGCATCCCAATCGCGGCCCGCCCACTGGAAGCGCTGGACCAGTCCGCGCGCGGGGATCTCTCCGCCCTCAGGCGCCCGCCCGCCGCCGCAGTGCCCGACCGGACCCAGCCTCAGGCCGGCAGCCTGTCGCGGTCGGGCGTCGGAGGCCGCAGCGGCGCAAAGCGGCCGCCAACAGCAAGCTCGCCCTGCCCCACCCAGGCCCGGGGCGCTGTCGCCAGGCAGAGATTGGCCAGAGCAACGTGGACCGAGGTATCTGTCATCCCCACCCCTGGCAGACTTCCGAGCGCCATCCGTCTCGCCCCTATCGGCGCGCGATCGGGCGGGGACTCCACTTGAGCGGAGGGGGGGCGTCGGCGGGCCCAGGGCCCGCCGCTCTTGCCCCCTGGGGCCCCGCGCCCCACAGAGATTGGTGGGCGTCGCCCACGCGAGATCGACAGGGTCGGCGGCGTAGCGTCGACAAGATTGGCGGCGCAGCGTCGACAGGATTGGCGCGCGCAGGATTGACCCGGGCTCGCAGGAGGCGCCACGCGTCGCGATTGGCGACATCCCCGCGGAGCTCGGACCACGCAGGATCCGTTCGGCGCCAACATCCAGAACCGCCTCCTCGAACCCCCAGTCGCCCCCCTCGCCATCCCCACCGCGCGCGCGGTCGAAAGCGCCCCTGACCCCCCCCCCCCCGCTTCCCCCCCGAACTCCGCGGCGGCACCGCCGCCCCCCGCCCTGCTTCGCACCGCCCCCGCCTCAGACCGCCATCTCCACCTCCCTGACCTCCTCCACCGCCTCGTCGACCCTTCCGACGCCCACCTCCACGACCGCCTCCGCCTCGCCATCGCCGCCTCCGGCTGCCACTGCCCCTTCCCGCGCGCGCCGATCGAGGCGCCGCCGCAGATGACGCGGCGCTCCAGCCCCACGCCCTGCGCCTCGCTGAACAGCGCCGGGGCCGGCAACCATTGCCCCCACCCGCCCTGCTCGCACGCGCGGACCAGGGCGCCGGAGCAGACGACGGCGGGGCCCAGCGCCGCTCCCATGATCTCTCGACGCGGCACCAGGGCCAGCTGCCGCTGCCCCTGCACTTCCTTTTCTTCCAATCACTGATCGGGCCGCCGCAGCGGACGACAGCGCGCCCCAGCTTCAGAGCCAGAGCGCCTCGCTGCGCACGCGCGCCTCGCGCGCGCTGATCGGGGCGCCGTGGCGCGCGATGGCGGGCCCCGCCTTCGCCGCCAGCACCTTGCTGAGCAGCGCCAGCGCCGGCTGCCACTGCCCCTGCCTGTCTTGCCCAAGACCCTGCGTCAAATTTTAGAAGGAATTGACTCTCTGTTGTTGGCCCGGGCGGGCCACGGCTGCGCCCCCAAGGTTTCTCGGCGCAGCGCCAGGGCCGGCTGTCACTGCCCTTGCCAGTCCGTCTCGCGCGCGCCGATCGGGGCGCTGTGGCGGCCGATGGTGGGCTCGAGCTCCACGCCCAGCATCTCGCCGCGCACGTTCGCCCCGCGCGCGCTGATCGGGGCGCCGTTGCGGGCGATGGCGGGCGCGACCTTCACGCCAGCATCTCGTCGCACACGTTCGCCCCACGCGCGCTGATCGGGGCGCTGTAGCAGGCACTGGCGGGCTCCAGCTCCACTCCCAGCGCCTCGCCGAGCAGGGCCAGGGCCGGATGCCACTGCCCCTGCCTGTATTTCCCGCACGCGCTGATCGGGGCGCTGTAGTAGATGACGAAGGCGGGCCTCAGCTTCACAACCAGCATCTCGCTGGGCGCATTCGCCCCGCGCGCGCTGATCGGGGCGACGTGGCAGACGACGGCGGGCTCCAGCTTCACCCCCAGCCTCTCGCTGAGAAGCGCCAGGGTCGGCTGCCCCTGCCCATGCTCGCGCTTCTCGCATGCGCTGGTCGGGGTGAGGGAGAAGACTGGCGGGGTCGGATGCTGGTGCCCTGGCCCGTTCTTCTCGCACACGCAGACAGGGCCGCTGCAGCAGACGAGACGCTGGTGAGCTCCGGGTTTCACTCGCCACATCTCTCGGAGTAGCGCGAGGATCGGTTGCCACTGCACATGATGGTGGGCTCTGGCTTCCCCCCCAGCATCTCGCTGAGAAGAGCCAGGGCTGGCTGCCACTGCCCCTGCCCGCGCTACTCGCACGCGCTGACCCGGGTGTTGGAGTAGACGTTGATGGTGGGCTCCAGATTCAGTCCCAGCCTCTCTCGGAGTTCCGCCAGGATTGGCTGCCGCTGCTCCTGCCAGTCCTCTTCGCACGCGCTGATCGGGGCGTTGGAGCAGATGATGGTGTGCTCCAGCTCTACTCCCACCATCTCGTTGAGCAGAGCCAGGACCGGCCGCCACTGCCCCCTCCAGTCCTTCTCGCGCGCATTGGTCGTGGTGCTGGAGCGGCTGAAGGCGGGCTCCGGCGCCACTCCCAACATATCTCGGAGCAGCGCAAGGGCCGGCTACCACTGCTCCTGCCAGTCCCTCCCGCACGCAATGGCTGGGGCGCTGGAGCAGCTGATGGCGGGCTCTGGCACGACTCCCAACATACTTCGGTGTTGCGCAAGGGCCAGCTGCCACTGCTACTGCCCGTCCTTCTCGCACGCATTGGTCGGGGCGGCATTGCTGGTAGACCCCATATGTCTACTGCATTTTCCGAGCTGGATCGATCTGCGATGGTCCCAGGGCCCGAAACAAGGCGAAAAGTTTGTCGCGCTGCTCACGGTCGCACTGCTGGAGTCCAGCGTGCTGCTCGTGATGGCGCTGCTGGGGTCCGTCATGCTGCGCGCAATCCTGTTGGTAGAGTCCATGGTGCTGCTCACGTTCGTCCTGCTGGAGTCCGTCATGATGCTGGAATACATGCCCCACGCCAGGTGGCACGCTGGGCTAGGCCACCGCGCGGGCCGCAGCTGCCGCCGCCTGGGCGAGGGCGGCCGTCGCCGCACTGGGCCCGGCTGCGGCCGCCGCCGCGACAGCGTCCGCGACGGCCGAGGCGGCGCCAGACGCGCCCGCGGTGCCCACGGCGACAGCGGCGCCCGCAGCGCCCGAAGCGTCAGCCGCGAGCGCGGCGCTAGCAACGCCGGCGGCACCCGCGGCGCCCGCAACGCCCGCGGCGCCCCCGACGCCCGCGGCGCCAGCGGCGCCCACGGCGCCCGCAGCGCACGAAGCGCCCGCGGCGCCCGCGGCGCCCGCAGCCCCGACAGCACCAGCGGCGCCCGCGGCGCGCGCGGCGCCAGCCGCCCAGGCGGCACTTGCGGCGCAACAAGCTTGGGGCGCCCGCGGCACCCGCAACGTTGGCAGCGCATGCGGCGCCGGTGGCGCCCACGGCGCCCGCAGCGCCGGCGGCGCCCGCGGCGCGAGCAGCGCACACGGTGCCCGCGGCGCGGGCGGCGCCGGCAGCGCCAGCAGCGCCAGCAGCACCGGCGGCGCACGCGGGGCCTGCAGCCCCCGCGGCACCCGCGCCGCCCGCGCCGCCCGCAGCGCCAGCAGCGCGGGCGGAGGCAACCGCCCGCTGCCGCCGTCGCCGCGCCGCCGCGGTCGGGACGGAGCGCTGCATTGAGCCAGGGGCGAGATCGAGCCCAGACGACTTGAGCCAGGCCACGGAACGTCACGCACACACACGCGCGGTTCCACCCACATGCGAGTCCGCACGCATGAGGTTCCACGCGCATCTGGTGTCACACACACACACACACACACACACACACACACACACGCGCACACACACGCGCACACTGGGGGGGCGTTTACGCATGCGGCTTTATTCGCAATGGGCTCAATCAACCCGCACTGGGGTTTCACACACATGGGATTCTGCGCACACGGGGTTTCACTCTCATGGTGATCTGCGCTCGTGGGGGTCCACAAGAGGGTTTCCACGGAAATGGGGCACACTGCTTACAAGGCCCCACACACCGCACAACCCACCGTCATCACCGTCAACTGGCCCTTCCTATTGGGTTAGCCCTCGCTGCCTGTCTCTTTCGCAAAAGGCGGAGAGACAGGGAGAGGGAAAAAGATAGATGGCCAGACCATTAACCAGGGACCCAGCAGGGTTACGCGTGACGATCGCACGGGTCGTGCGCACCGTCGTTATCATTATCGTCAAGAGTTGGAAATCGTCGATCGTAGTCGTCAGCATCACCAGCTGGAATTCGTCAGCATCGTCATTGTATTCGTTGTCGCCTTAGTCATCAATGCCGTCGTCGCCAATGCCGTCGCCAACATCAGTCGCCCGCCTGAGCCACTGGACTGCATGAGCAGGGTCCACGCGTCATTGCGCCTTTTGATTTTTGCGAACAAAATCCGATGAGCAATGTCACTGACATGTTCTGAAGAGTTGCATCAGCTTGCGGGCAGGTGGGGGGATGTTTGTTCGAGCAGGAGATGGTCACGCGCGGGTGCGGTCAAAATCGAGTGCGCCCCATAGATTGCGCCGCACGAATTGCATCCCATCCACTGTTTGTGCACCCCATGAAATCGCACAGAGTAGATTGCACTTTTTCCGGTGCACAACATAAAGTGCACTCTAAAGGTTGCTCAATGCCATTGTGTGGGACCCGCGCGCTGGCATCATGTGCACATGTACGTATACCCGCAGGTCGACAACCATCTTGACTCAAGGAGGGAGGAACTTTGAGGGTGTGAAAACCATCCTGACGGGCGAACGCAAACGCAGCAGAACAGAGGCACCATGTCCGGAACCGACATGGAGCTCGCGTGGGGGCTCACGGTCACGGCGAGCCTCTCCACGTTGGCCGGCGCTGCCATCGCCATGGCGCGCGAACCTGTCGCGCTGAGCATGGGCGCGGGCCTTCGCTCGCTCGGCGTCGCTGCGGCGCTCGCGCTTGCCGCGGGCGTCATGCTGTTCGTCGCCGTGGCGGAGCTCTTCGGAAAGAGCGAGGAGTATTTCCTGGAGGGCGGCCAGGACGAGAACCATGCCAAGCTGAGCGCCGCGCTCTCGTTCTTTGGTGGCGCGTGCCTTGTGCTGCTCGCCAACGAGGTCTCGGTTTGGATCTCGCCCGAGCACGGTAATTTCGAGCTGACGCCGAAGCCGCCGCCTGTCGCGGCTGGTGCCGCGGCCGGTGGCGATGACGGCGATGCGGCGCCGCAGGCGCCATGCCGCGCCGCGGACGCCGTCTACTACCGCCTCGGCGTGCAGACTGTGGCGGCCATCGCGCTGCACAACTTCCCCGAAGGCCTCGCCGCCTTCCTCGCCACGATGGCCGATGGCAGGTCGGGCCTGGGCATCGCCTTCGGCGTCATCCTGCACAACGTGCCCGAGGGCCTGTGCGTCGCAGCCCCGATCTACCTGTCAACACGCTCGCGCGCGAAGGCGCTGGGCTGGGCGGCGGTTGCCGGCGCCGCCGAGCTGCTCGGCGGCTGCACGGGCTGGTTGCTGGCGCGCGGCAAGGGCAGCGCCGAGGTGGACGGCGTGGTCTTCGGGGCCCTCTTCGGCATGGTGAACGGCATTGTGGTTGTCATCTCGGCGCTCGAGTTCTTGCCGAAGGCTCTGCAGATCGAGCGCAACGCGGCGGCGCACGCGGTGCTGACGGGCGGCAAGCCCCGCACCAACGTGGTGTCGACCATGTTCGTTGCGGGCATGGCGCTCATCGCCCTCACGCTCATCGTCGAGGCGTACTAGGAACGAACCTTCCGTCGTGGGTGAACTCATCAGCAGGTATGGCCCAAAGGCCTTCATGGTTGGTTAGCAACGCTGAGCCTGACCTTTCGAAGAGCTCGGCGGCTGCGGGGCATAAGGATGGGCCCAGGATTCCACTGAGACTAAGACCTGTGTTCTGGATGGTGGGCGCCTTGCTGCGCAGGGACGCAGGTTCATCGTGTATTTTCAGCCCGCCCGGTGGCATCTTGGCGAGGCGCATTTGATCCATGCAACCACTCGGCGACCGCACCTGACACTCTCATGGTGGTGGGTGTGAGACTGCTTTCTTTGGGCACCTGCTGCGCATGGCCGCAGGCTCACCGTGTCTCTCCAGGCGTTATAAGGCACGTTCCGTCAACTTTTTTGTCAAATACCCGGAACAGTCTTGTATGGTGTTGGGCTGTTTCTTGGGTGCAACGCAGCGCAGTGATGCAGGACCATCCGGTATCATCAGCCCGCATGGTGGCTTCACATCGTTTTGTCAATCATCAAGTTCTCTTGACTGAGCGACACGATCTGTTGGGCCCTGGTTTCCCAACACCAGTGTGCTACGCTCCGCCTTCCCTGTCTCCTCCAGAAGCTTCCAGGCACCCAAATTGCCGAACGCGTCCAAAGAAAGCACCATCGATCTTCGATTTTCCACCCTCTCCACCCCTCATCTCACGAGAGACGCACACGTCCACATCCCACGCCCTCGCGTGCTGGACACAGAGGCGCGACCCCATGGATGCGCGATCCCACGGACACGCTCCGCGCGGGGCAGCCGCGCAGAGCCGCCCCGTATCCGCAGGTTGTCGCGCCGAGGAGCCGAGCTGCCGAGGCTGCGGAGCGTCGGCCGGGGCGGAGGTCGGAGCGGAACCTCCTCCTCCTCCTCCTCCTCCTCCTCCTCCTCCTCCTCCTCCTCCTCCTCCTCCACCGACTCCTCCTCCTCCTCCTCCTCCTCCTCCTCCTCCTCCTCCTCCTCCTCCTCCTCCTCCTCCTCCTCCTCCTCCGCCTCCTGGTGCCCCCAGGCTCGAAGAGGCACCTCCCCACAATTAGCCGCGAGCCCTCTTCGGGCTGCTTCTGATCCCCCCCCCACAAGATGGAGCGCGAGCCTTCTCCGTGGGTCGCTCCCAGGTATCCCCTGCCCCTGCCTCGTCGGGAGTCCCCCGGCCAGGAGTTCGGCTTCGGTCTCGCGTCGTGTCGTGTTTTTGAGGCGCCTCCGGGCGAGGCGAGGCTGCGCGCGAGGGCGAGGGAGGTCCGGGCCCCAACGCTGCAAGAGGACAGCGTGCCGTCCTGTCTTGTTCTCGCCGTCGAGGAGCGGTGGGTCCCGGGCTGTCCCGCGGCTGTCCCGTGGTTCTCCCGTGGCTCTCCTTTGGTGTCCCGTCGTTGTCCGGTGGTTGTCCCGCGGAGGCCCCGCGGGTGGTGATCTCGGTGCTGCGTCGGTTTGCGAGTGAACCGCAAAGCGGAGTTGTACCCATCCTCCCCCACAGCCTACTCATCACCTGAAGGGTGGTCCTACCGGTATGTACATGCCTTCCCGCCCACGAGCCTCTCCCCTCCACTCGCCTCCCCCTTCGCCCCCCCACTCCCGCGGAGTCCACGCTTCGGCCGGTTCGACTGCGTCGCAGTCGGTCGCGCTCGGTTTCGTCCAGTTTCGGTCGGTCGTCGTGTTGCTGCTGCGTCGCCGCACCCCTCTGGGCTGCCTGCGGCCTGTCGGCGTCGGTGCCGGCCCCTGTTTCGCTGCCGGCTCCATCGGCTTGCGGCCGTGTCCTCGCCGCGGACGGCCTCGACTCCGGGGGCCCGCGTCCCCGGCACGGCCCAGCGGCTCCGAGGCGCCGCCAGCGCGGAGGACGACACGGACTTTGACCCCGACCTCCCCGACGATTTCGTGCCCGGCACCGCCCACAGACGCAGGGCGCCAGCCGCCAGCTCACACACGCGAGAGCGGGGATAGCATATTTCCAGACGATGTTGGTTTGGAGATCGATGAAGTGCCTGACGAAAGGGGATGATGCTCGCCCAACCCCCTGTGCCCCTTGTCATCATACATGTGGCCTCCTCTCTTATTCTCTTGCTCCTCCTTTTCGTTCTCCTTCTCATCCTCCTTCTCATCCCTCTCCCCCTCCTCGTCTTCCTCCCCTCCTATATTATCCTTCTTGTCTTCATCCTCTTCATCTTCTTCACCTGTCCTCATTTCTCTTAGGGCCCCTATCGGATTTACAAAGAGCACAATCGGAGTTCAGTAGAAATGGAGCCGACCCCGGATCCTAAGAATTCTTATTGAGTTCGGATGGGATTCTGATAGGGCTTCAACAGGAAAGGGCCGATCCCAGATCCAGAGGATTCCAATTTAGGTGGGATAGGGTCCTCAGCAGTTGTCAATGGAAACGGAGCGGATCCCTGATCCAGAGGATTCCTATTGAATGTGGATGGGTTTCTAAGCAAACCTCCATACAAACGGAGCAGATCCCATACCCAAGAGAGTTTCCTACATACTTTGAACAGGATTCGATCGGACTCCAACAGATTCAGGGGGCTCTTATTGGATTTTGATTCTGATAGGGTTTCAAGATCCCAGATCCAGAGGATTCCCTGCGAATTTGAATAAGATTCCGGTTGGGCTTCAAGAGAAAAAGCAGATCCGGGGGGTCGGTGGCCTCTGGCACGCCTCTTGGGGCTGTCCCTGGAGTCCCTGGCGGCCTTTCGGGTTCTTCGGCGGTTCCCCGAAGCCTCCGCAAGTTTTGCGGCCGCCCCTGGAGGCTTGCGGAGGCCCCAGAGGTCCCCCCGGGTCCTCGGGACCCGTGGGGGCCGCCAGGGGTCGCGCTCTTGGTGATCGTCGGGGATGTCGATGGGTTTCGGGAGGGCTCGGCTGCCCTTGGCGGCTTTCGGAGGTCCCCAGGAATCCCCCTTGCTATCTTCGGGGGTCCCTGGCAGCCCTCGGTGGCTTTTTGTGGTTCCTGGTGTATGCTGGGCTCCTCGGAGGTCGCCGGGAACTTCGGGAAGCTTTTGGATGCCTCGGGGGGGGGGTCCTCCGGTGGGCCTTACAAGACGCACCCGCATAAGCATGTACATGTGCTACACAGATGTACATACAGAAAGGATGATACGGACCTAAAGTGCACTGTGGGAACGATGCGTTGCCGCGGCTGTTGCCGCGTTGCAACCGCTGCATGTCTGCAGGCGCAGCGGTGTTGGGGATACCCCAAGGGGTCCGATGGGGCTCCCAGCGGCGGCTCGCTTGTGCAATTGTACGAGGCGCATGTGTCTTTTTTATGTGTTACGTTGTAGTGTGATTGCGCTGGAATGTTGCTGCGAAGCACCCACTCTATAGCCCCGCTGCGTCGAAGTGGTTTCGCGTGGCGCTCCTTCTCCATCGCGGTTTCCATGGACGTTGCGCACTGCTGGGCAATTGCGTACGCCCCGTTGCATGTTGAGCGCGGTCGGTTGCGTTTTGAGCGCCCTTGGCTCTCTCAGCGGCTGTTTGTTCGCCCCCCCCATCTCCGCCACCCCCATGTGGATCTGCGTGACAGGGCGTATTTCGATTCAACGCCATGTCGATTATGGTCGACCCGATCCGATTCGATGTCGATCTTCCGACGCTCCGATGCGGCCCGATGTTATGTTTACGTGATTTTGTCGTGCATCCTACCGCGGCCGATCCCATTCGATTTCGATTCCGCGCCGATGCAGCCTGGTCCGACGCACATTCCAATTCGGTCCGACTTCCCGATTCGAGATTGATCGATCTTGCGTAGCGTTCGGAAGGCAAGAAGAGATCGGCTCTAACAGGCTAAACATGTGAGCCCATGAGTTCAGAGCGCATTGCGCCAAGAATAATGGTGCCCATGAAACCGTTTTGAACGCGACTACGAGCAACTGATTCTGAACAGCGCTAGCTGATTTCGTGGCGTTACCTCCGAGTCGTCGCCTTGGAGAATGGGAACCTAGACATGTTCTTGACGTTTCCCGTATCCCCACCAGCCCATCCAGAAACAGATCGTTTGGCGAATTGCTTTGATCAGGGAGGTGTAAAAGCACGCAGTGCAACAAACGCCTTGGAAGTGTTTTCTCGGAGGTCTCTTGGAGCCGTCTCGGGTCTCTCTTGGGGTCCTCGCGGAGCCCTTTGGGGCACTATTGGGGCCCCCTTGGGGGGTTTGGGGGGGGGCTACGGGGCCCTCTTGGGGCTCTTTGAGGGGGTCTGGGGGGGGGCGGCACTCTTGAATGTATGTCGGAGGCTATATGGAACCATCTTGAGCCATCTTGGAGGCCATCTTGGGCTCTCTGAGGCCCTCTTGGAGCAATATTGGGCCATCTTGGGCGCTCTAACTAACCGTGGCCCCCCCTCCCAGGCACAGGCGGGGGGGATAGGGGAAGGGGTAAACTCCTCCCCCGAGCAGGGGAAGAAGGGGTTTTGGCAGAGTGAGAAGACAAAATCCGCCAAACCACCTACGCCCAGAGGGCTGGTGGGACTTAGCTCTTAGACGAAGGAGGGGAACGGTATGGCTGCGCCCCGCGCTCGCCGTAAGCTTCGCCTCTTTCTCCTGTCCCATCCCCTCCTTCTCCTCCACCTCCGTTCCTCCTCCTCCTCCTCCTCCGCCTCCTCCTCCTCCCCCTCCTCCTTCTCGTCATCAGCATCATCATCATCATCATCATCACCATCACCATCACCATCATCATCATCATCATCATCATCATCATCACATCATCACATCATCACCAGCATCATCATCATCATCAGCATCATCATCATCGTCATCATCATTATGATCTCTCTCCTCTCCGCCTCATCTCCGCATCCCCGTCCTCCTGATTCCTTTCCCCCTCCTCCTCGTCCTGTCTCTATCTCCCTCTCTCTCTCTCTCTCTCTCCTCTCTCTCTCTCTGTCTCTCCCTCTCTCTTTCCATAAATATATAGATATAGATGTTCATCCTCCTCCTCTCCCTCGGCCTCCTTTTTCTCATCCTCCATTCCTCCTCGATGCGAGGTGCAGCCTGCAGGGCCAGTGACGACCACTACGACCACCACCACGCAGTGCCACCTCCAGAGACTGGCGGGGCCTGTGCCCAAGCAGTGAGGTCACGGAAGCAGTGGTGCGGACGGATAGGCAGAAAGTGGGAAAGAGAGGGAAGCGGAGGAAGAGATAGCCCTTTTTTGTACTTCGCGGCCCTTCGTTGTTGCAGGCTGCGCGTTACTCCTTGTGGACTAGTTTCCTCGTGCGCGTTCCTTCCTGTGCCCCTCCCGCATGCGCGCGTCGCCTGACTCCACTGCTCTTGACAGCCAAAGCCGAGCCAACGCGAGCTGGAAGAGGCAGATGTCGGACGGGGCTAGGACGAGGATAAATCCGTTCCAGAGCGTTCCAGAACGCTCCCAGAGCGCTCCAGGGCGCTCTGAGAAGGCTGCGGCGCCCGAGACATCCTCCAGAGCCGCCGGATCTCAGAGACTCTCGATCCATCCTCACCCGACTGTATCTTCGTTGCTCCACGCTGGCACCCGAACTGCTGGCGGCAGCAGCGTGGCTCCAGAGAGCGTTCTCCTCGGCACTCGCTGCTCTGGGCGCCGCCCGCCGGACAGGGTGCCCCGCCGCGCCCTGGCCCTTCTCGGCCCGCAGCGCCCGGGTCCTCTGAGCCTCTGCCAGCACGCTCGCTGCCGCCCTGACCGTCGTCGCCGTCGT